TCAGTCACCATTGAGTTATATATATTTAGATTAGCAGTTTAGTACACCGACTTAGTCAGAGAGGTCGGGTCGCGCCTTCAAATCTGCGCGATACCAAAAAATTTTGTTTGTAAATTTTTGTAATTCTAACTCTCCAGTAATATATCGATAACAAACTAACTTTATACGAGAGACGGTAGTCTCATTTCTTCTACGTTATATTCAATATGAACGAATTATGGGTACAACAAGTGTTGCGGTTACCGTGACGTCGAATCTATCTCTGTTTACCCCATATAGTTTCAAAGTCGTGAAGGTACATTTACAGCACCTTTGCATTAAAAGAGATACAGAAATATCATAAATATATTGTGATGTTTTATTGCCCTTACTCTAAACATTATATTAATTGTTACTATATATAGTATTATTTGGCTGTTGGTTTTTAAAAAAAATATTACAAGAAAATACAAAATTTTACATTTTATATAACTTTGTAAAATGTAGAAAAAAATGTCTTATTATATATATTACAGGAACACGTTGCCTTATTCTAAACGACATATCAATTGTTATTTTGTATTGTTACGTTAATAAAATAAGAACTGTATAAAAATTGATAAAGAAAAAATAAAAATTGTTTAGTATATTTCATAGACAGACTGGCAGGTGTCATTCGAAGTCGTTTTTAGTAACCTGCTACCTACTTACATGCACCTCACCAAATATTATTGTTTCTACATAGTTTTACAAGAATATTTAAAGTGTAAATAATGTCAGTGGTTCCGAGTAAACGCGTCATTCCGCGAACACTTAGCACGTTATATACTCATACAATGCATATCATACAAATAATAAAACACACATATCACCTATTGTTACGATAATATATGTATAAAGAAAATGAAAATATAATACGTAATTTGTTTTTGTTATCCTACTGATTTTGTTAGATTAACATATTACGTCTATATCACAATAAAACTTCTTTATTATATTTATTATTTCTGCCCATTATAAAAAAAATAATGAGAATTATAATAAAACTAGCTTTTGCCTGTGGCTTCGCTCGCGTTAATGTATCCGTATGTCGTATGTAAGGGTGGAATTTATCGAAATCCTTTCTTAGGGGATACCTGCGTCATAGTAGCTTTATGCATGCAAAATCTCAGCCCGATCGATTTAAAATTGACAATGTTTCATACAAACTTTCATCCCCTATTTTATACCCTTGGGGGTAGAATTAATTAATAAATTAAAAATCCTTTCTTAGCGAATGCCTACGTCGTAACATCTACCTGCATGCCAAATTTCAGCCCGATCCGTCCAGTGGTTTGGTCTGTGCGTTGATAGATCACTATGTCAGTCAGTCAGTCTTTGAATTATATATATTTAGATTACTGTCTGACCCTTGCAACAGCGTCACATTTTCCCGTTTTTGCAAAATAATCATAGTATCTAGCTTATAGCCTTCCTCAATAAATGGCTATTAATACTAAAAGAATTTTCAAAGTTGTATCAATAATAGCAGAGAATACTTGGAATAACTAGACCTCTAAATCACTTTACCTCTTTATAATATTAGTACATATAATTATTATGAATTGCGTTTATGCTAGCCTATGTAGCGCCTATAATGTACATTATAATGCGAACATAAATTATTTATGACTAACTAGCTAGTTGACCCGCGTAACCTCGTCTGCAGCACACTTACTTGACATTTATCATTATATTTCATCCAATTTTCATATTATCTTTTTAAATTATATCCTATGTGTCATTCTGACGTATATGCTATATTAGTGCAAAATTTTCCATTAAATTCCGTTCAGTAGTTTTTACATGAAAGATTAACAAACATCGATCCATACTCACAAACTTTCTTCTTTATAATATTAGTAAAACATACCATTTACATACTTACCTAAGTAAAAGATATTATACGCTCGTGTAGGGTACAATCTTTGTTTCATTGTCGACAATAGCACTGTACACTTTATCTATTTTCGTAGTAATGCTTTTAATAATAAATAACTATTTATCAGCAATGGTTTTTATTTTCTGAATTGTGCATGGTTCATACGAGTTCAAGTCGTATTCTAGGAATTTGGTACAAGACAAGGGCGTGCTGCGGACAGTGCCGGCGAACTGTCGAACATACATACTAAACTAACAATGCTTGTAGTTTAGCCATAAAAAAAATACCGTGCATAAAGTACTGGTTAAATAAGTAGGTAAATATGTATTTCTATATAGTTTAGTATCACCACAGATATCACGGAGGTAGACCGTAAAATGTCGTCTGGGCGGGTGCCTCCATCTCACCTATTTCAAATCACAAGTAGCTTACTTTAGATACTATGATTAGCTTTGGCTATTTAAGCAAGCTTATTGTTTCGTTACTGGGTCCGATTGGGCAGTAAAATTACAAATAAAGTGCATCTTAGTTCTCTGAAATGGGAGTCGTATCATAACGTATTGCAGTTTTCCAATAATAATAATGACGTATTGCAGTATACCCGTAGTGCAGTTTTCCAAGTCCATTAATATGAACATAGTGTTGTATTAAGATATGTAACTACATAGTAATTTGACAGATAAAAAAGAAGTAAACATTCTTCTAATATTTGTTTAGTGGTTAGTTTCACGATAACCATACAGTTTATTGAATCTAGAACCAAAATAACTTTTGCTACATTTGGCTGTGTTCGACATCCTTAAAAAATGTACGTAGTTTTTTACAGTCAAAAAACAAGTAAAATATTCTTCTAATATTTAATGGTTTCACGATAACCACAACGTTTATTGAGTCGTGAGACCCAAAATAACTTTTGCTTAATTTGGCTGCGTTCAAGTCTAATTTTTAGTTAAATATATTATGTTCCTATTTATAGTCCGAATTTACAAAAAAATAACTAATCGTTTAACTACGAATGACACTAATTAGTATTATTATATTGTTGCATTCAATGATAAAATTGCATTGATATTCACATGGTCTTATCAAATTTATCTATAATTATCATTTCCATTGTCGGTTAGTAGTAAATGACAACAAAGCATACTTATGATTGATGACAATCGGTAGGTATACTTACAATATAGATAAAATATATATTTATAGGCTTTTCCGAGTATTCGAAATTGCTACTGGGAAGTATTATATTTATTTTTATAGCGCATTTAATTAACTTTAGAAGGCTGCGCGTATAAACTTACTTAATAACATAGATTAGGGGGGAAGGGATTATTCACGGAATTGCTTACAATATATTTTTTTTTATCTCTGAGCTGAAACTGATTTACTACAGTTAAAATTTATACGCAACAATAATGTATTGTTTCGAATTTAACAATAATTGAGTAACAATATTAACACAAAGGTAGGAAAAATATCTAAATATAGTCTACAGTATTTTTCATGTTCAATATATATTTATTGTTCTATGTAACATTGTATTGTCATTCTATACTATTATAATATACAGTTTAACGTATTAGCATTCTGAGGTCATTAGACCTCCCTCCCTACAATATTCAGCATAATTCAGTAGGTATCTGATTATGCTCAAATGATGTCCATAAAATAAAGAAATAAATCAAATACTTATGCAGTAGTCCTGGAGATTACTCATAAGTGCATAAACTTACAAAATTTGAACTCTTTCGTTGTTATTTTAGAAATTATATATGTATATATCATTACATTGCTTTTATTGTCGCATTTACGATATTATAAAACTTATAAATAAGTTAATGCGGATTCAGTTTCTTTCGATAAATATAGGTATTACTCATATAAATAGTAGGTATTATATACATACTGTATAAATGTAGTAAATAGTATGTATATATGTAGTTTGTTATATTAGTACTTAAAAGGAATAAATACCTCTTTACTATATCTAAACAAAATTATAATAATTATTTAATTAACGGTTAATGTTCTTTAATTTTCAAGTATATTCTTATCAAACCATTTGTTTATTTACTAATTAAATTTTCATTTAATTGTGAATTCCATTGTAATTTACGTGTGCTATCTTTCATTTCAAATGAAAAACGTAAGTAAATAGGTATTAATTCGGTTTAACAATTTAATCCTTTTGCTTTAAAATGTTATTCTCAGAGTCGTGTCGTGACAAACGATCTTATCTTTCCAAGAATAAATTGCACTCTTTTGAGCTGCATAACTTATACTGAAGTGTGCTTGAATGTGTATTGTAACATAATTATGGTAATGTATATTAAAATTTACAATAACATGCCAAAGAATATTCTGGAACTGCCTTTTTATAAATGTAAAAGTTTAATTAATTTATTACATTTTTTTCAGTTTATAATATGAAGTCGCTTTCGCTGTTTCTTCTCTTAGATCTTTTAAATTACACAACGGATTTTAATGCAGTTTTTAGCAGTAGATAGAGTGATTCAAGAGGAAGGTTTATATGTATAAGGCACGTACATCCGTGCGAAGCTGGGCAGGGTAGCTGCCAATAAATAATTATTTAAATGATAAAGTGCATAGAGCTGTTCATGGTAAGTACGGGATTTTCAATAAATATTAGTCATATAAAACTAATAAATTAGATAATGTTTAATAATGCTTTCATATTAAACTAAAAACCACAACAGTTAATTTCTTATTAGTTCTTAACTGAAAGTGTTGTCAAAATTGAATGGTAGACTTAAAAATGAAAAAATTGTATTGTATCATTGTACTGAATATATTTTAACTATCCGTAGCATCATCACCACCATGCAGCATCATCACCATCATGCATCATCGTAGCATCATGACTGTTACTGGAGCGGGAACACAACTACTATTTTAATAAAATCCAAATATTAGCAAAAATGTGTATTCTTCCCAAAAGGGCTCACAGCAAGAAGTAAACAAAACAATATATTATAGTCAAAAGTGACGTATAAAAATAGATATAAAAATATAAAATTTATAAAAAGAATGATAGACAAGCTGCCAGTAACATCCCACCCTCCTGTGACATAGTCACATCCTACTGAAAATCTACTGGCAACTTGACCAGCCTTTTCAGTGGCCGTCGGAGTATGCCTCCAGAGGTGCTTACCTCCGCTACCCTAACTATACCATCACGGCCCGGAAATACGGTGGCTATCCGACCTAAAGGCCACGTACCTCGTGGTAGCGAAGGGTCCACAATAAGGACCATATCTCCTACGGTCACTGTTTGTTCGCGGTTTTGGCCAGGGGATCTTCTCGGAATCAGTGTTGGTAAATACTCCTTAACCCAGCGAGACCAAAACATGTCGGCTAAACATTGAGCCTTCCGCCAATCACTTCTTCCGAGAAAATCACTCTCATCCAAAATAACCGGAACCGGGTGATATGGAGATGATTCACCTAAAATGAAGTGGAATGGTGTGAGAGCGGGTGAAGAGGGATCTAAAGGAACGTGAGTGAGAGGCCGGCTGTTTACTAACGCTTCAACTTCAATTAAGGCTGTATGAAGCACTTCATCTCTGGGAGCACGATCACGCAGAATAACTTTCAACGCTGTCTTTACAGACCGCACTAGACGCTCCCAGGCGCCTCCCATATGAGGAGCTGCAGGTGGAATAAAAGACCATGTTATCCCTGTATTAGCTCCTTCTTCGCTCATCGCTTTTAGTATGTTGTTAGAGCCAACGAATGCCGTTCCGTTGTCCGAATATATCTTATCTGGGGTCCCTCTTCTGCTTATAAAACGCTTAAGACACATAAGGGCGCTGTCGGTGGATAGAGAAGCTGCGACCTCTAAATGAATGGCCCTTGACGTTAAGCAGGTGAACAAGGCAACGTATCTCTTCTCCTTTCTTCTTCCGACTGTCACCAACATCGGTCCCATATAATCCAATCCAATGAAAGTAAATGGACGACGATGATGGGCTAATCTCTCCGCTGGTAGGTCGCCCATAGGCGGATTTAAAGGTTTAGACTTCAGAAGAATACATCTCGGACATCGATGGACAATGGCACGAAGAGAACTCCTTAGATGAAGTATCCAGTATCTTTGTTGCAATTCATTGATGACGAGATTTGGTTGGGCATGAGCAGCTCGACAATGGTAAAATGAAATCAAAAGACGTACGGTGTAGTTACGGCCATCGAGAATGTAAGGCCACTTTGTAGAATCTGGAATATCAGAAGCTCCGACTCTGCCTTGTAAACGGATGACACCCCGCGGATCTAAAAATGGGGATAATCTTCTTAAACGGCTATGAGCCTTGAGGGGAACTTGCCTTTTCAGTGCTTCTAGCTCTTCAGGAAAGGATTCCATTTGACTCTTACGCAATATATCTTCTTCAGCCTTGGCCAAATCTTCTGCAGATAATGGTATCAATGAAAGACAAGATGATGATGATGACGATACTACCTGAGATGATGATGACAAATTTCGTCGTAAAATACGTGAATGATGTGTAAAATTCTCAAGCTTCAGTCCACAAGCACCCAAAAATATTTTTAAGTCTGTACAAAAGAAACGTTATAACAGTTTATGTGTTCTTTTAAAAAATAGTGACTGAAAAAACGAGTAGCTAATAATGCTGCCTGAAGCTCTAGATACATTATGAACCCCGATTCATTACATTACACATATCTTAACAAACACAAACGTAGGCAAATTTACTAGTGTAATTCAACATGCTCTTTATTAAACTGATCAAAAAGATATCAATAAGGAATACTTTAGAATTTAGAAAACTGTTTAAGCCGTTGAATCACATTTGCCAAACTTTAGATTGATCATGATCTAGCAGATCGTCTCAATTCATGTTAGAACGCAAAATCTTTTGAGACTCTACCTTGAATTGTTATTGAAGAGAAAATACCTATGCATCATATAATCTCATGACGTGAGATAATAGTAAAACATATGGAACCTCTAATAAAAAAAAATAATCCGAAATCTCTATCTCTATCAAAAAATATAGTTATATGAGTATCATGGTAAACCTTTTAAAAGGTTTATGCTCTAAATATTTTAATTGTCTGTAGGTCTGCCAATAACAATCAGCCGTTGCAATCAATAAACAATCAGCCCGATTCCACAATAAACCACTAGTCTGAAACCTGCTGTTTGGGAACCTACAAGTAGTAGTATCTAAATTTTGAATAGTACGATCATGCAGAGAGCCAGATGAATGAGGGTGTTTCAATACACCAAGTGCCTCTAATCTAAACTGGCCCCTAAACAGCACGTTCAGAGACGAACTAAGAGTAGGTTCTTTATCAATAACTCTAGCATGATTAATAACTTCGACGGGTTTAGTTTGACTGTCAAAGACACCATGCAATACCCAACCTAAACTAGTAAGGGTCGCAACTGGTTGTGATCGTGTTCCTGACCTAATACCACGTGATACACTAAGGTGCCAATTTTCAGCTCCAATTAAAATAGTTGGTATGCCATCATATACCAATTCCTGAGATATATCTGACAAATAATCATACTTAGTAATATCAGAATACCGAACAGTTTGTGATGTCAAATTTAAATTGTCTATAGACCTAGCATTTTCAATAGTAAAAATATCCGATCCGAATTTTCCGCGTATTTTAAAATCTACATATTCTACTTTGTCCTCTCGAACCATACCGCCAACACCTTGTACACGAATATGCCCCTTAGGTCCATTGAGACCTATCCGTTTAGAAATACAGGCATCTATAAGGGTAGCAGTCGAACCATCATCTAATAAAGCCAAAGTTTCGATACTGCCTAATGGCCCTTGGACTACTACCGGAATCATTTTAAGTAAGGCGCTATTTGTGTACTGCGTTGTACTACTGAAATCACGATTTGTATATGTACAATTATTTTCTAATTTTAAACTTTTTGGTTGAGAATCTAAAGAATTAATCGGTATAGGTACGGAACTATTTGGTTCGGTAATTTCTTTTGCAACTGTGACACATGTAGGTGAAAATTTATTTGACGTTGCTGTCATAATGGCACCGTGAAGTAAATAATTATGGTATGACCTACAACCATCAATATTACATCGCTTTTTTGAATAACAATTACGCCAATTATGTTTTTTATCACCGAAACATTTGAAACAAAGTCGAGATTTTGTGACAAAATCAAATCTCTCGGCGACAGAAAGGTTTTTGAATTGTGTACAGTCTGTTATGATGTGTTTTGAAGAACAAAATATACATGAATCAGTCGAATAAAAATTTGTGTTATTGCAGGATTCAATACGTTTTGGATGTTTCAATGGTTCAGTAGGTTTTGAGAGTGAATATTGAGGAAGTATTCCGAATTTTCTATGATTACTGGCTTCCTCGGAAAGAAACTTAGATAATATTTCTAACTTTGTACCCTGGAATTGATGTGATGCTGCATAACCTGGCCAAATGTAACGCAAGAATGGTGTTAATTTAAATAAAATAGCATTGTAAATTTCTGTTGAATAAAGATAATGTTCTTGTTTAAGGTGTTTAATTGTACAAATTGTATTTTGTATAGTGGAAGAAAATGAATTTAAATCTTTTAAATCTGTCTGTAACCTAGGTAGTGAGCGAATAATAGACAACTCTTCCATAACTATAGTCTCAGGAGTGGCAAACCGTTCCTCTAAAGCTAACATAATCTCTTCTGGGTCGTCACATAACAGTAGGCGAGCAGAAACTGCGCGCGCAGCCTCACCACGTAACATGTAACGAAGACGAGTAATATTTTCGTTTGCAGAATAATTATGTTTCGTATCATTGTAGGCACGTTTAAAGGCAATCCACTCAGAAGCCCTACCGCTGAAAGGTAAAATATTAATGTCTTTGCTATGATATTTATTTCCTGTAGATAAATTTAATAAAATGTCACCCAAACGCTTTAAATCGGACTCGGTTGAAGTTTCCGGCTGTGTAACAATATGTGTGGTCGGCGGCTGGCGACCATCATAATCACTCCGTAACTTCTGCTTGTCCTGTGGTATATTATATACTGACGTTTGATTATCCATGGGAATTGAGGCGGGACCTGTACTAAGGGGACAATATGTTAATACATGTTGGCTAGGAATACTATTTATATCACCCTGAGTACGTTTATTTGAAATTGAATGTGTCGTATTTTCAATTGGTATCTGAGGTGGTAATTCAGGTACGTCGAAGAACTTGTCAGGTAAACTTTGAACCCAAGAACAGGTCCTAGATCTTATTACGGAAGGATTAAAGCTATTCCTTGACTCCGATTCTATCTCAGCAATTTCTGCCTCTAACCTAGCTCTTTCGGCCTGTTCCTTCAATAAACTTAATTCTTTAGCCTGAGCGAGTCTTTGGGCTTCCAGTTCCTGGGCCGCCCGCTCGGCCTTTATTTCATACAAAGTCTGGGCATGCCGTGCCTGGGCTGCCAGACGTTTAGCTCTAGATGAGGGCTGTGATACCGTTTCCTTTGAACCCGATGGTTCATGATGGTGAGCAATAGGGGCAGAGTTCTTAGAAATCGCCACTCGAACAACAGGGGCAGCGTCTTCGGACACCGCCGCTCGAGTAAATGGGGCAGTATTTCTATTTACTGCCGCTCTAGCCATCGATCTTGTTTCCATGACGGGAAAGGATAAGAAAAAATTAAAACAATACTTACTGGTAAATATGCGAAGGACCAATGTTACTGGAGCGGGAACACAACTACTATTTTAATAAAATCCAAATATTAGCAAAAATGTGTATTCTTCCCAAAAGGGCTCACAGCAAGAAGTAACAAAACAATATGTAATAGTCAAAAGTGACGTATAAAAATAGATATAAAAATATAAAATTTATAAAAAGAATGATAGACAAGCTGCCAGTAACAATGACCACTGACTTATCCTATTAGGTTAATTTCAATCTGCTCACTCTGTGGGTCAACGGACCTGCATCCGTGCATCACGTCATTCTGATCATTGCATTCTACACTAGTGTTATCATTAAGATCATTTATTACACAAGGAAATCGAACAAGGCCTTATGAGTGTAGTGAGTGAGTAAACGATTTCAAGTCCCCGAAATGATTAGAAATTCAACACATAGAATGGCTTAGTAGCCATTCCATAGTACCTAATCATGCAATATTGTATGGCTACTGTAAAACCGCAAAGCCAAGGTGCGGTTGCACGTTGGCTGTGGATACTATTAAACTGTCTACATACGTCCTTCAAATCAGAAGCAATATCGGAGTAGAAGTGACTTGTAACTGTCTTCTGTATACATGACCAACACTACATATCATATGACACTTGTGATACCACTCATGTGTTGCCAATCCAGCGAATTCTCTGGATTGGAACTGAATTTCTGTAATTAAACTGTAATAAAACTGATCCTACCAACGATGCCGTTTACAAATCAAGCTGAAATAGGCGAGACTGAGGTACCATAGGGGAAAGGGGATTGTTAGTAATGTGGACTGTTGCCCATTGCTAGTAATATTCCATAAAAGTTTGAACTTCACCTTCACCTGGAAACCACCATGACAAGTTCTTGGTTAATTTGCCACGATGGGCTAACTGAGCTGACCTCATACTCATCTTATCATCCTCCACTGGTGTCCCGCTTCATATACTGTTAGCGCAGTAGTGCATTTAATCCATTATAAAAAAAAAATCCAGAGGACTGAGATATCGTCCTTATTATCCTGTAATTTCATTCCCCAATTCTCACCCTTTTACCGAAACCTAGCTTACCCTGCGCAGACGATCCCTTACAAAGTCTATCTCGGGTAAGCTATTATAGTATTAATATGTACTCGCTGAACGACTTTAGTCTGATATTGCCCCTGATTTTAATGCTGTGTGTTGACCGTTGTATTGTATGCGACATTTCCATTTTTGTTTACGTTATTGGAAGAGCATTGTCATGCAATCGGCGGTTGTAGAGGCGAAAGTAGCCAAGTGGAACGAACTATAAAGTCAGTTCGTAGTAAATGTTGCAACTCGTAAATCACGTCACGCATTCACGTGCCCGTATAAATAGGGTTGTCATAATTACATTTTAATTTTGGCAAACATATTAATGTTTGTGTAGATAATTGTAATATTAT